GTCAAACCGTTGATTTTTTATCCAGTAATAATGTCGAATTGATGACTCATTGTTCGTATTCACCGGATTTATCACCTAATGACTTCTTTTTGTTCCCAAATATTAAAAATAAGATGCGTGGTGAGCGATTAGAGTCGCCTGAAACAGCTGTTGAAACATTTCGTACACTGATTTCTGAGATTACAGCCTTAGAGTGGAAAAAATGCTTCGAAAATTGGTTCGAGCGTATGCAAAAATGTATCGATCTTAAAGGCGAATACTTAAACGAAACAATAAAGCCATTTACCGAATTTTACATGTTTTTTTTCATATTGTTTGGAGAAACTTTTCCAGCAGCCTACGTATAATAATATCTAATATACAGAACTTTTTACAATTGGGAGATAACTTAGCCTTTGAATAATAAATTGGATTTAACGGTCGATCTTATTAAGTGTATTGAAAGTAATATTTACAAATTGCCTATTGATGAGCGGATCTCAATCTCGAACTACTCATTTTCTGCACTAAATAGCTTAGCTTCTTGTTTCCTATATTGTTTTTGCGTAAAATAAAAGAATCTGGCAGAAAAATGTCCGGGATTACTCTGCAAAGTGAGATATTAAGCATTAAAGTTGACTAAAGTGTTACTACGTAACACGATCATTAATCTGTCATGTAGACAGTGAAGTGTATAGACTTAGTGCTTATTGATTTGAGGCGGCATAGCCAAACAAAAAAAAACATATCCTACCCACTTGGGGCCTAACCGTCTAGAAGTTGCAGCCTAGATAGAGTGTCTGCTTGAAATATACTTCTAACCCATAAAGACAGTGGGGTGTTAGAACAGTCTTTTTAGAGTGGTCTTTTTACTGTCTAGGCTACAACTTCTAGACAGTTAGGCCCAAGCGGGTGGGATATGCTTTTTTTGTTCGGGGCGTCAATCGTTTGAAAGCCTTGGCAAAGGTCTACAAGAAAGGAAAATGGGTCCCATATGAACTGAAGCCAAGAGATATTAAAAGGCGAAAAACTGCGAAATTCTGCTTGCTAGGTAACAAAGAAAGAGATTTTTATACTGAATTGTGACTGGCGATGAAAAATGGATCTATTTCGAACTCCAAACGCCGAAAAATCATTTCCAATCCAGGCCAACCATCGATATCGATGCCAAAGCGGAATATCCACGGAAAAAAGGCAATACTCTGTATTTGGTGGGATCAGAAGGGTGTAGTGTACCACGAACTGTTGAAATTTAGTCAAACAGTCACAGGGGATCTCTACCGAGAACCAATTATCCGTTTGAGCCGAGCTTTGCACGGAAAAAAACGACCAGAATATGAAACGAGACAGCATGAAGTGATTTTGCTTTATGACAATGTTCGGCCTCACATCACAAAACTTGTCAAAGAAACGTTAGAAGCACTTCGCTGGGAAGTGTTACCCCATGTGGCTTATTGACCAGACTATGCCTCTTCCGACTATCACTTGTTTCGATCGATGGCACACGCACTTGCAGAGGAACACTTCAATTCTTATGAAAAGACGTCGAAAAATGGGTTTCTGAGTGGATAACCTCCAAAGATGGGTCATTCTTTCGCCGCGGAGTTCGCTTACTGCTCGAAAGATGAGAAAAAATCATTGCTAACGATGAACAATATTTTAATTAAGGTATTTTTCATTTTGTTTTTTAAATAAAACCATACTTTTTGCAAAAAAACGGACGGGACTTTCTAATTGATCTAATAAAAAGACTAATTTCGCAAAAATTGCAAAAGCTGCGACATATGCATACGATATCGATGTAGTAGTAAGCGATGTAGTAAAGTGATATGTTGCTTTATAGTAAATCATATGTGTGCGTTTTATAGTCAATAAAACAGCGATTTTTTATAATTTATATATTTGGTGTTTTTTAACTTCCCTAGCTTAGAAAGGGAATATAGATTCAGATCGATTAATTACTAACATTTTTGAATTTTTGTCTTTAAAATTATCTAAAGAACACACTCTTAAAAAATAATCTGATAGTTGTGTACAGAACACCCTATATAATAAAATGGGAGAAAAAGAGAGATTTCTGTTCAACCTACCGAGGAGGGACTGTCGGGCCAATTGTACTTAGTACTACTTATAATACGGGAAAAGCAATAACATACTACTGTAATTCAACCTGGAGCAATTAATACATTACTAAGCGGAAGACTAATTTTTATTCTCCTGTAATGAGTTTATCAATTAAAAATTACAAATTATTTGAAAATGACACAGGTTATTTCTCTCAGATGGATCAAAGTGTTCGAGCTCCTCCGAGTAAAACGAAGGAAAAATATAAACAGGAAACGATGATGCAGTCGCAATGATAGAAATAAATCTAGCGATTCAATCATAATTCACTATAAATGAAATTCAGCTCGACTTTCGGTTAATGTCCAATGTGGTCATTTGATATTTGATAGATATGAATTTGATTATTTGACAAACTTATACGCAGTTGACTTATACGTAGTCTGACGTATAGTCAGTAATTAAAAGATTGCAACACATTTTTTGTAATGAGTTTCGGAATATAATCACCGAGTGATTCGTTATTAATTATATGTATAAGTAAGAACCAATCGCTCGGTGAGCAGTTCCAAAATCTATTTTAAAAAAAGTGTTGTAACCTCTTAGTTGTTGACTGTATGATATATGTATCATATCTAACAATATTGACTATATTTCAAATTTACTACCAGCACTAAAAATCTATAGTTCACGTTATATGCATTATAGATTTTCAGTACGACACTAAAATATGTTTGCTCCTTCTACTAGCACACAATTATTTTTTTATTCCACGTAGATTCATTAACGTTTAGTATGTATCGCCCACCCAATGTATTAAGTTTCATCAGCATTTCAAATCAATGAAATTAATCGCAATAAGTTTATGAAATTCATCCGTATCTTTTCTGTACCCATTCCTTCTTGCGTAGTTCTCACATTTTTAAGCAAGAATGTCGTTTTTATTGATGTTGCAAGATTATCACATTTGCGCACAGATTTCGTCATGTTATACTAACATTATATATATATATATAT